AAAACCAAAAGTTGCAGTACAAAAGAGAGGAATATCTGGAGGTTTGAAGACTGAGATGCTGCTGAACATTTAAATTCTCTTGCCTGATCATTGTTTTTAGCTAAAAAAACAGGCTTCCCTACAAATCTAGTCTGATAGGAAACTAGATAAACCTGACAATTGGTTGGTAATTCTTCTCAAAAAGAACATGCCTTAATAACCACCAGTGGAATAGACTAATCAGACTACACCTCTGCTGTACGTTTTCTGTTGATTTTTGAAAGACATGCAGTGATGACTTTAGAGAGAGCCCTCCATAGACCTGGGTTTGATCACCATCTGCCTCTTTCCTCATCTATGCTCGCTGATTTCTCCTTTTGAGAGTTAAGTACAAGACTTTAACCACAGAGATCTTGTGGTTTGTTCATTGGTATTCCTGTGGGAAGAGCATTCTGTCCCTTTACCTTCATGCATGTTCATAAATCTAATCTTGAACTTTGTGTGCAGGAGCATTACTTAGCCCAGCATTGTGTAGGATGCTAATTCTCATCCTAAAAAGATTTTTTTCAGACTGCTGATTGAAGGACATTATCATCCTACCTATCTACTCCAAGCACTAGTAAGAATTTCAAAGTAATTTCTGGTACTACCCTTTTTCCTAGGCCATATTCCCCCTACCCTCCCCCCAGCTCTCCCTTTGATGGAATACATAAAATTCCATCAATGGAAGGAATTTGTGAGAAATGCTGACCAGCCTACATTCCATCAGATCTGCAGTCAACAATTCAAAAAGTAATATTCCCTCAATTATTAGATGATAAATGTATTCAGAAAAAAAGTTTGATTTGAGGTTGACTATGTTCTTTCAAACTTTTCAGTAATGACCACAGAAGAAATGTTTTAAAGAGAGTGCTATAAACTATGTCTTGAACAGGCATGGACCAGTGGAAGGATTGTTTCATAAAGATTCTGGTCAATCCATTTTCATTTGTCTTTTACCAGCATTTGTAGAAAACAGTAACCTTTTACTGCCTTACCTTAGAATCCCTGTCCTGACATGATATGTTTAAATTAGTTTTTATAAAAAGGACAGGAATTAGACAGGGAAGGATACATGAAACTAATTTTCACTATATTGCACAGTTATATAGTCATTTCTACATCAGTGAAATTATGTAAGCCACAGTTACCACTGGAGAATTCCAGGATTTTAATACTTTATAGCTTTTATTGGATTTATTTTTAATTGAGGCATATCTCATTTTTCTGAAACGTCTATGGATTTTTTTATATCTTCCTTCATTTTTTTCCCTGTCTTCGAAAATGGCTCCCAGCTCCCTGTTATTAGGAATGGGATTGCTTCCACTTTCAGCTTAGCATAGATGCATCTTTTCTCTTTACAAATACAAGAGAAACTTCTACCACTGACAGAGTTTTCATATTAAGGTTAAAAAGGTTCCCCTCAATGGAAATTATCACAGAATGACAGAATCAGAGAATGGCTTGCGTTGAAAGGGACCTTTAAGATCATCTAGTTCTGCTCCTCTTGTCATAGTCAGGGACACCTTTCACTAGAGCCCCATCCAACCTGACCTTTAACACTTCCAGAGATGTGGCATCCACAACCTTTCTGGGCAACCTGTCCCAGTGCCTCACCACTCTCATAGTGAAGTTCTCTCTAACATCTGGTCTAAACCTACTGTCTTTCAGTTTGAAGCCATTCCCCCTTGTTCTGTCACTACATGCCTCTGTGAAAAGTACCTCTCCATCTTTCTTGTAGGCTCCCTTCAGGTACTGGAAGACCTCAATTACATCACCCATAATCCTTTTCCAGGCTGAACAAACTCTCAGCCTTTCTCATAGGAGAGGTTCTCCAGCCCTCTAATCATCTTGGTGGCCTCCTCTGGACTTGCTCCAAAAGGTCAGTGTCCTTCCTGTGCTGGAGACCCCAGAGCTGGATGCAGAGCTCCAGGTGGGGTATCACCAGAGCAGAGCAGAACAGAGGGGCAGAATCACCTCCTCGACTTGCTGGCCACACTGCTTTGGATGCAGCCTAGGATACAGTTGGCTTTCTCAGCTGTAAGCACACATTGCCAGTTCATGTCCAGACTCTCATCCACCAGCAACCCCAAGTACTTCTCTCCAGGGCTGCTCTTGATCTGTTCATCCCCCAGCCTGTGTTAATACTGGAGTTTGCCCTGACCCAGGTGCAGCATGGTCTTGTTAAACCTCATGAGATTTCAGGTCCCTCTAGATGGCATCCTGTCCTTCAGGTGTGTCAAGGGCACCACTCAGCATTGTATCATCTGAAAATTTGCTGAGGGTACACTCGATCCCTTCATCTATGTCATTAATGAAGATATGAAACAATACTAGTCCTAGTACGGACCCCTGAGGGACACCACTTGTCACTGATGTCTCTCAGGACTCTGAGCCACTGGCCACTACCTTCTGGATGCGACTGTCCAACCAATTCCATATCCAAGTAATTATGACCTTCTCCTTCTAGCTGCCTCTGTAGGGACGTCTAGTAACATGAATGAAGAAGGTCAGTAGAGAATGAATGGATGGTCTGGACTATATTAACACATAGGCCAAAACCATAGGGAAGAGTGTGAGGAGTGATATAGATGTCAACAGAGAGAGGACTCTGTGGGTAGGAGTCAGGTTGTGAGTGGTGCCAAGAGCTAAGACATGGAGGAGCTGACAGTGCAGAGGAACACCGTGGGCATGAGATTGATGGGAAGGGGAAGAAAACGCAAGGGACAAGCATGTGTCTGAACAACTTTCAGGAGCTGGAAAAGTGTGGGAAGGTGCTTAAACCTATCCCTTTTGAACAAGCAGGAAAACCTGACTGCACATGTGTTTGCAGCTTAATTGAGTTGCAAGCTTGAGGTGAACATTTGAATTCAACACTTCAATTCAGCCTTTCTGGAATGGAGAATAAGAATCAGTAGGCAAGTCAAAAATGTAAGCAATTATATTTTGAGGATGTTGTGATGGCTAAGTTGTTCCATTTTTTTGTTATCTTGCCATGGTCCTGAGTATCTACCATTTAGAATACTGAAAATGCAGTCTTTCTTAAGTACACAGCAGTGGACACTGAGAGCTCCCCCCTTTTTTCTTCTCTGTCTCAGTCCATATTTTGTGTTTCTCTTTAATATCTTGATAGTTCAGAATCATTAATGGTATAATCCCAGTAGTAAGTAGTAGGGAGGAAATTGGCAGGTTTCAATCCAACTGAACCGTCTCCTCTCAGTACCAGGTGATTGGATTAGAAATTACTCTTCTTGTGACAAAAGAAATTACTGAACAGATTGTGTATTCTTCACTAGACACTTCTCCAGGCTACAGCAGTAGCTATTACCTTCCGTTTGCACCAGCAGCCTTTGGGCTTTGGATGCATTTGCACCCATTTTTGCAACACCTGTCTCATGACAGCTGCAATTTAGATGAGCAAAAGTGCTTTGGTATGCAGCGTAGTAAGTTCTTGTGGTGTTTGAATAACGCAAGTAGCTTATTTTTTTTTGCCTGCATTCCTGTAAGAAGGGTAGTGGATGAACAGGATGAGCTAAATAGTTGTTTGCACTGCAACAACAGGCTGACAGTTATGTAAAATACTTTCATGTGCAATCTCCTCTGATCCTCTCTGGTTCAGAGGAGTATTATGGCCAAATTCAGCACGCAGGCTCTTGCAAACTCATTTTCATAAACTAGGGCACTGTTAAGCATAGAGGAGACCAAGACCAAGGTTGCTCTGTTTCTTCATCCCCAGCATTTACCTTTTCTTTCTGCTTTATCTCCTGTCTTCAGAATCTACACTTTAATCCTGTGGGATAAGCACAAGACCTCTTTTACCGAAGTGCTTCTACAAATACTGGTGATACAAATCACCTTGCAGAGGCTACTGCGGAGTGACAAGGTCTGCTGGCCAGATCAGTAGGAGTTGCTTTAGGGTATTATTCTAAAATGGGATTAGTTAAATAACTCTATAACACAATTCAAACGCTGAGCCCAATTCACTTTTCTAAGCTTCCCCCTTTCTGTATACCAGCTAAATGGCACTGATTAGGCTTTCAATTGAACATTTTCTGAAAGGCTTTCAGCTCATTTCTGAGATGATTCATGGAATTCAACAGAAAATTGATAAAATGACCAACTTCATGGGCAGCAGTGGTAACACAAATGTTCAATCAGCTTCTGAAAACTAGCTTTGCTGCTGCTTATGGAAGCAGATGCCTATACTATCACACAAAGACAATCTGCAGTCACAAGGAACAACTTTTTTTATATCGGTCAATTATTAGGTATAAAAAAAGAAATTGCTTTAATCCAAATATAAATTTTCAAATCCCTTCATCCAAAAAAAAAGCTATTTTCATTAGGATTACCAGATTAATTTAATTAGGATTAAAACCCATGCCTTGTTTTTATTAATATACATCTGTTAGAGACCTACCTAGTCAGATAAGGAGTCCAATTTCTCATAATATATACCAGAAGAATAAATGTTGCTTTGTGCTAAAATTCAGTGAAAAAGCACTAATAACAACTTGAAATATTTGTGAATTACAAAAATATCCCATGTAAAATTGCTCTTTTATCCATTGCCTAATTTTGCAAATCTTAACATGATTTTTATCTTTGAATTTATGATTTAAAAAAGCACTCTTTTTCAAAGATTAATCCTGTCAATTTTACCTTTAAAAAGCTATAAAATTACCATGTTAATGATTATATTTTTATTTAAATATTGTCTGTTAAATAACAGTGCTCTTAATTCAAAATAACTTCAAAATTCTGGAAGGTCATCCTGCATCTTTAATATCTGTCCTCACAACAGTAAGCAGACTCTGAATGACTTATTCGGAAATATTTTGCATACCTTTTAATGCAGTCTGAATTGTCTAGGCAAAAGATGCTTAGTAGACTTATTCTTAAGTCTCTTTTTGTCTGTTATCTGAACATGTTTTATTCTAGTGCATTCAATTCAGTGTTATCATTCATTTTTTTCTACTCACCTCCAAAGTAAGAGCCATCTGTCAGCTTCAGCTCCTTGTTGGATTTGGTGATGACACCAGCAACACCATGTTGAATGAAATACATCTTTTTACCCACAGCCCCTTCTCGGATAATATAATCTCCAGGCTGAAACACCTCAAATCGCAGTTTGCTTAGCATGGCAGTCACAAAATTTGGGTCTGCATTAGCAAAAAGAGGCATTGTAGCAACCAGTTTCCGACAGTTGAAGTTGACAATCTCCTAAATAGGAAGGAAACATCATGATAATGACAGTCAGTAAATATGTACAATATGATGGACATTCAAAAAAAGACTTTCTGCTTTCTTCACAAAGAATTTCTTTATCCTCATATTGGACATTTCTGTGTCTCTTTCTGTGCCTATTTTATAAAATATTTCATCTGTTTCTAGTGAAGTGATTGAAACATCAGTGCAGTCTGACTTGCATTTCTGAGGATAAAGACTGTCTTCTTCTGGTGACTTTTCACATGTTATTTATTATTCCTATTGGAATTTAAGGGGAAAATATGACAGAAAGATAAAAATTAAATAGGTATTACTCTGCCTGACACAAGATTAGTTGTTGCAATAACTATATTAAAGTTATGGATTTATGTAAGCCCTGTGTTTTCAAATTATACACCAGTAATATCTTTCTGTTCTGAACTTATCCAGTGGCAATATAAATGTACATTACAGTTAGCTAGTTGAAATCAACAGGAAAATTTCCTTCCCAGTTTTTAATTCATTTTATAAACACAGAGGCATACATTTCTGTTCTTCAAAGAAATGGTTATATAGTAGACCCCTATATGCAGAAAGCACTACTGTTTTCCTAAGGCCTAAAGGGTTTCTCCTACCAAGAGCATTTATATTTACATTTACAGGGCCAACTATGAGCACATCTACATGAAAATATTAGTACCAAAAGGCTATAAGTGTCCTTGCTTTAAATAAAAATAATAAAAAAATATAAATAAAAATAAATAAATTAAAAAAAAAAAGAACAATTTCTGAAATATTTTCAAGTTCATTCTTGGAAACCTTATATTGTATTAGGAAATTAACATGATCAGTTGCCATTACAAATTTAACAGTGTGTTGAAGAGCTGAGACTAATCACTATTACACATAGAGAGGGGCTTAGGCAGATAACATCTACTGAGGTAGCAAACCCAGCATGACAGGAAGAGCAAGTATAATCATCTGTATATAAATGCACATAAAGCAAATGAAAGAAAAATAAAACCAGCAGTCACCTAACTGCTCTGTAAAACTAAACATGATTTTACTGTCAGTGGAGTACCCCTAGCATTTCTTACACTAAACCAAGTCGTTGAGATTGATGTAAATGAGGCATCCCACCTACAAGTGCTCTCATTCCCTTGACTGAGACCCATTGCACTCCTGCTGGAAGTGGCTTTTTCAATCTCCTATGCGTTTGCTGTCTCATATATCTCATGAGATATATCTCATATATCCCATGCAGACAGCTCTCTGAGCATGAAGCTTGGCTATACTTATCCAGAGATCTTTTCTTCTCCCAGCCCCACAATGTTATATCCTACTTGCAGACATGGTGGGGAAGGTAATTCCACAGCATAAACAACAGAATCATAGTTGGTTCTTCAAATCAGTTCCCTTGCAACTGGGAAAAATTGGAAATCCCCCTTTGAAGGGAAGCCATTAGTTAATGAGGCAAATGGATGAAGAGTGAAAAGAGTGAAGAAACAACCACCTTTCCCTGAGCTATCACTTCCTTTAAATCCAAATCCAAATAAATCCAGTGGAACTTAAAAAAATAAATTGGAAAAAAGGTCTCACCAGAAGCCCAAGAACTAGTCTTCCTTGTAAAAACACATGTTAAATTTGATGCAAGATATCTGCTCTTTGCCTAAATTCAAAAACTATCTCAAGCAACAGCACTACAAGGTGTGAACTACTAGATAGGTGGCATTCAAATCAGTGAATACTGCTGTGTCATTAAGTCAATAGGGGTAATCCCAGGCTACCCCTCTAAGTATACTCTGTATGAGGGAATAAATATCATACTGAGATTCCAACTGGCTGTCTTTTCTAAAGGACGAGGAAAAGCTTGTTTTCCTTCCTGTTTAAACACTACTTTTCTTAGTAAAGCTTCAGGCATCACCTCTTTTCCAAAGGAAAGTCATTCTCTTCTCCCACTGCTAGCAGCACGGTGGCATCACAGGAGGAGCCCCAGACTAAATCCTCAGCTCCCTGTGAGACTTCCTTACTGCAGTCTTGGCTGATGCTGGCAATAACTATTACTTGTCTTGCCTAGCTCAGGGACTTTTCAGCAGGCTTGCTGCTTGTTTTCTGTTTCTGAAAGTGAATAGCTTGTCTTGCATGCCCAGGAGGCAGAGAAAGGAAATTACTAAAGAAAGCAAAAATTGACTGGAAATTATATAGAAGCTGGTGGGGAAGCATGACAAAAGGCTGGGAGAGTAGAAAGTTCAACTCCAGTCAAATTACAAAGAAAGAGTAAAATAGACCTAGGTGGAGTAGTACTAAGAAAGAGAGAATGGGAAGAAAACAAAAAGAAGGAACACAGAGACCTAGGAAAAATGAAAAAAATAAAAGAAGGCAGGAAGCTTGACTTTAAAAACAGATTGAGAAATGGAAATTGCTTGAAAAAGTGAGAGAACAGAAGAACAAAATCTGGAAAATAAGTGTCTAGAGTGAAAGCTGAGAAGTAGGGCAGATGAAGTAAACAAGAGAGAAATTGGAAAAAAAAGAAGTTATCAGTAACGTCTTTAACAGTACCATAAGAGTGAGCATGATATAGAGAGAGGGGAGAATTCAGACCTGCATGACTCACTCCTCTGTACAGAGCCAGTCCAGCCCAGCCAGAGAGGAATTCACCTCATCTTGGGAATCCCAAAAAAACACACCCTGGACACAGAATTTTCATTCTTCGAATCTCATGTCCTCTTATTGCTCAATCTTCTGCCTACCTTTCTTTCTCATTATGAAATCTATATCTGGATATATCCACGTATACACACACATTATCCTGCTCAGCCTGAGTTGCCTAATGAAGGTACCAACATAGCTACAAAACCACCCTGCTGTGGTAATTTCAGCAGTTATATCCTAATAATGCATTCATTTTGTTGATTAGTTTTCTGTGAAAGTTTGTGCTAAAGTGCAAACCTTCCTTATTTAAAATGTTAGAAGGTGGAAAATTACTGAGGTAGAAAGAAATGTGTCATTTTTAGAGTGTTTTGTTTTTCTTTAAAGTGTTCTTTTATTTAAATATGAGATCATTCAGAGCCAGTAAAATACATTTCCCTGAGTCTTAATCACAGGCAGTACTGCAATTTCAGATTCTTGTGTATTACTTTAAATGCCATCTTGGGGAGAAAGAAACAGTAAAGATTATGAAAGTGTTTTATGTAACTCAGAAAGTACCAGGAGAAAAAGTTCTGTGTTTTAAAAGAGAAGTAACAAAAGAACAAACTGACAAATTAAGAGGTGACACTTTGTGCAGAGAAAAATTTTTCACTCATATATTTTTTTTAATTCTTTGGAGATAGATTGGAACCAGACTATGCTGCCCAATATGATATCTTAATTTAATGAAATAATAATGATTTTGTCTCACCTCTACTTGAGGAAAAGACCAAATGAAGCCTGAGGAAAGGATGAGGGAAGAAAATACCAAATGAAGCCCAAGGAAAGGACTAAGAGTGCATTATATAGCTGAAGTGGTTAAAGGGCAAAAATGATTCAGACCTACATGGAACAAGTGTTGAACTAGTCCAAGTGTTGCTCTCCGTTACACAAGATTTAAGTCAGAGGTGCAGTGGTCTGCTTTATAGAAGAGACTGGTTAGGTAATTACACTGACTCCTGCTCCTTTGTAGTGTATTGGTTTTATTACTCATCTTGATCTTCCTGGATATTTTTTAACCTGATGTTAAAGCATCAGATATTATCACTTTGTTCAATATTTCTTGATGACTGCTCTGAAGCATCTCAAGGTGTTAGAGAAGTAGTCACAAGGCTGTCCTAGCTGTGATTGGGGTTCTCTGATGGCATCTGTAAATTTTTTAGGACTTTTTCTCCAGAAGATTTTTAGCTGGAGGTAGTGCTTTTATTTAGACTGACCAGAAAATGCTGTTGCTATAAAAAAAGGCAAGAAAGATCTGTATGCCTGAAAAGTTTTTTACTTTTTCTCAATAATCCAACTGAGCTAATAAAAGGTACTGTCATCTAAAAATTATGCCCTTACGTGTAGGCCAACAAAGTCCATTTTTTCCCTGAGTGTTCTTTCCTTACACTATGCTTTCGAAGGATGAGAAACTAAATCAGTCTTAATTTCCTGATGATTGAAAGGAAGAAATCACTTTACTGAGAAAGCTGTTTTCTTCCTATAAGAACTAACTCACAGATAAAAGATTACTGAACCATCGTTAAGAGAGACCTATAGGAAAAAGCATTACATTTAGGGATTTGGGGCTGTGTGAACAGATTAGATATATTTAAACCCAGTTTTGAGGAGTCATATTCTGTATGTGTTCATGATTTCCTGTAATTTTTTAATTCATTGGTCAATTATAGTCAAGTTTGGCAGAAAGGAGGTATCTCACTGGTACTAAGATCTCAAAGGTTTTATTACAGCAGGCAATCAGAAGGACTAGGATTAGTACCCCAGTGGGGGAATGACTACATCATTATCTAACAAGTTGTTAAATGCCAGAAAATCTACATGTGGCAACAGGATGCAATATTCTTCATTTCTGGTGCACCTGAGATTGTTCAAATTGCTTGGACACATTCTGTTTAATCATCTATACAGAGTTTATGACATAAAAACAAATTTTTCTGAGAGGCCTTTCATGTAAATAATAATGACTATGTACATTTTTTCTGAGTGGGATTGACATGATTTTCCATTTTTCAACGACATAATCAATTTCAATATAGAGATTCTGCTTAAATTTTACTAACAAACATGGAAACTCTTGGACACTATTATTTACATCTAGAGCTGTGTCTAGAAACAGTATTCTTTTTTCTTCATGACTTGATATTTTGTCATTCTGTTAACATAGCTGGATATTTTATGTGTGCATTTTAGAAAACCTCCCTGTCTAGCCCCTTTGGTTATAGATTTTAAAGCCCAAGAATGCTCTGCTCTGATGTGGCCTGCATATCTGACCTACAGACAAAGCACAAAACCTGAAAAAAAACTCTGAGGCAAAGACAGTTCACGGG